GAAAGAGCTAAAGGTTTTGTGACCCCTAATTCTGCTTGAGATCAGAGAATCATAGAATGGTTTGGACTGGAAGAAACCTTTAAGATCACCTAGTTCCAACTCTCCTGCCATGGGCAGGGATGCCACCCACCAAATCAGTTTGGTCAAAGCACCCTCCTCCAACCAGGTCATGAGTTATGGTAGCTGAATTCTGCCGTAATTTCCTATGTGCTTAAATATTGTCATACTCTGATTAGATGCATTGATACCATGGTATTTTTTAACTCATGGTAGTATGCGTTATTGCAAATAATACTCTGCTGTCACACTGCATTTCATTCATAGATCTATAATTGCCTGCATTTTTATCATGAATGTGACAACTCTTTGGTGTGTGGTACTTATACTTTATAAAATAGTTTTAAATAATTCCGCTCTCTTCAGTCACAATTTTTAGATCTTCATTAAAGAATTGCTTTTAAATGTTGAAAACTTCGAAGTTGCTGTACATTTTTATCAGCATTCCTTGTGGCTTAGTTGATACAGAAGTAGTGGGTTCAAATATGGCATTGGAAGAGTCAGATCAGGTGTGCAATCTGACTAATATCTGGAGGGTATTTATGCTTTATGCATAGTTTTTACTCAAGTGAAAAGACACGTTACCGCTGTACTGCTGACAGTGGCAGGCTGTAGAACTACCCTATTCTTTGAGATTCTTTCCAGTGCAGACCATCTCCTCTTACTGTCTCTCTAATGATTATTCAACTGACTTACTTAATATCTTCCATGTTAACCTACTTTAAGCAAAGAACCTTGTGATCCTGAAGTGTTACTTACAAGGTTTTAGAAGAACCTTTTTCGTCATGTTCTTTCTGAAAGTGTTTTAGCAGCAAAGTTTCTGGTGTGGTAGTAACCTGGTGATGAGCCCTGTGTCTGTCCTTGGTGTTAAGATGATCAGTAGCTTTGGGATTAGGAGAAAATTTTTCTGCAGGGCATCCAGGAAGGAGTAGTTGTTTGAGGTTTTTCCTTGCTTGTGATTCTTCTCTGAATTTTCATGGCTTCTGAACTGAATGAGTGATGACTTCTGCCCCTCTCCTGCTGTAGTCTTCTGATGTGCTGCAGTTGTGGTTCTGTCTTTGTTAGCCCTTACATTTATGAGACATTCTCATTCTGCGCCTGTATGGTATATGATGAACTGAAATTTCCAAGACCATGGGCATTGCCTGGTGCTAGCCAAACACCTTGGTTATCACACCTTGGAAAACCTTAAAAGAAGACCTCCCATTTTGCTCATTAGGTTGCCATTTCTGGAGGTGATCAGACATGTCTCCTGGAATCATACTAAGGATCTGCACTGTTTTAGTTTGACTCTTAGATACTGAAAGTTGGAGATAATTTTCTCTAGAATTTCCTTAGTCTGTGGAGTATAATATGAACTGTTGCAGGGCAAACCAGGTTATTTTCTATGGAGAGTTATTTTCTCTTCTGACCATCCAAGAAACCCTGTGAGACCTCTCAGGCATCTTGCAGCCTCTGAAGTTATGGATATACTTCACTCCTTCTTTAATGACTGATTTTGCAGCTCTTTTAATGGTGGTGGCTTCACATGCAGAGACAGAGAGCAACCGTTATTTCAGAAGTTAATTTTGTCTGGGAAACAAAAATGTTTATTGTAACTCAGTGACATTAACATAGATTTTTAGAATATGAAATAAAAATAGCTGTTTCCAGTGGACACGAATGTAGAAATTAGATGAGGGAAATACATGCCCTAGAAAAAGTATTGTTTTCAGCATGAGTGTGTACTAGTAGTTGTTTATCCTGTGTCTCAAGCTGTATTAACTTGCAGCATTACCACAATTCAATTAGCAGCCTTTTCAACATGGCTTTTTTTCTATTGGTGCATTATCCACTTGTATCTCCTCAATAATAATTTATAAATCAGGTGTGTGTGTGTGTGAGAGAGAGTTTGTTTTGGAGTGGGTGGTTTTTTGTTTTGCTAGTCGTTTATTTTTTCTGTTTGCTGGCAGGCTGGGTAGGTGGGGTTTTTTTGTTTGTTCGTTTGGTTTTTTAGTTGTGTTTTGTTGGGGATTTTTTGTTTTTGTTTTTGTGGGGTTTTTTGGTTTTTTTTTGTTTTGTTTTGTTTTGTGGTTTTTTTGTTTTGTTTTTTTTTTTCCAATTGAGATTCTTTTCTAAGTTGGGTAGTTAGAGCTTTGCTGAGGAGACAGCCTGGGGACCAAGTACTTTGTCATTACATGAACAGAGCATTCCAGTCACCAGTTTTGCCGAGCTGTCACTTTACATCAGCAATAAAGCTACTTTCTAAATAAATATGAAAGGTAATAAAACACTTTTACTAGTAATGAGAAGTACTTTTCTTGGGATAAATTGAGAAAATAATGACTTGATTAAAATATTAATTAAATCAAGTAATTTTTGAGGTGTCTTTAAGACCTAGAGATATATTATATATGTTTAGTAGTGTAATTAATTTTATATATTACACTAGTGGTGCAGTGTTGCTTATAAGAAAGAAAACAATTCCTACTTTAATGTTTCTAGTTTTAGGCTAGCCTGGCATTGCATGTTAACAGCATTTTTTTCCACTTCTCAGTCTGCTCACTCTTGTCAATGCCATCTGCTTGCTTGCTTCACCACCTCTTTAACAACCAGGTGATTTTTGCCATCTTCACCCTCCTCCTCAATATGCCCAGCAGTCCCATTTGGGTTTATGGGGTTAGTGTGCTAAGCAACATTGATATATTTATGCAAACATGCTCTTGATTCTAAAGAACCTTTCTCCATTTCTAGCTCAATAGTTTCTAAATCTTCCTGTGTTGGGGCGTATAGCTCTGAATTATTTTACTGTAGTCTAATCTCTTGTTATGCCAGCTGGTTTTGTTGATCTGTAATGTATTCATTTATGCAATAGATTCTGCTCTAAAAAAGTACTTAATTTTAAGAGTGCAGGTAGACTTGGTGTGAAAAGAATGTAAGTAGCTCAAAGCTAAGAACTTGCCTAAATGCTTTGCTGGATTTGAGGCTTAGGAAAGAGATGAAAAGATTGGTCTAATTATGTTGAATTTGTTTTAGAGCTGCTTATCCTAATAGTCTTATCACCAGACCAGTTCTGATTATGGATATTCGGCATAGAAGATTTTTCTCATCTTGTCAGGCTTTTCATAGAATCATAGCTCTCTCTCCTGTTTTTTTTGAACTGTAATCTTCAGTGTGGCTTGCATAAGAAAATGTATCTTAGGAAACTGATTTCAGGGAAGCCATGTCTTAAGAAATTGGATGTAGAAAGCAATGAAAACCTCATGTCACCAAATAATTTGATTTTCACATGTGAGGAGTACAAAATATTCATACAAGTCCAAACTGTAGTAAAAAAAAAAAAAAAAGAGGGAAATAGATAAAGCAAATTACATGAGTTAAATTCTGCTCTGCTATTAATAGGAACTGAGCAATTGTTAGAATTATTGGGAAAAAAAGGAAGGATGTAAACCAGTGAAAATAAAAACTGAAGAATTTTCTAGCTCTTACCTGTTGGTGTTTGCGTTCTTCCATTCCTAAAACCTGTATCTCACTCTCACAGATGCCAAGGGGATTTTTAGGATTTGATTTAACTTACAGTCACTGAAAAACTGCCTTAAATCTAAAATTGCAAGAATTGCTGTTACTGTTTCCTCAAGACAGATCTTACCTGGACTGGAGTTTTGCTTTTCCCACTGCTGCATGGGCAGGGCATGAGGCGTTACCGAGACCAGAAAACCACATAGCCTCAGGTGTTTTCAAAGAAAGGAACATTTGTTGAGTTGCCTTTGAACATCTTTCCTCTTCTGCAGTGTTTAGCTTAGGTGTATTATTTCTGAAGGAGTCACAAGTTCGTAATGGAATTCCCACAGTGCAGCTTCCTGTGTGTTATTTTTCAGAGGTAGGACTGTACTGTGGTTCTCTTTCCTCCCTTGTTTCTGCTACGTGATCTTTTGGCATCTTTGTCAAGGGTGGCACTTGAGCAAACGCTAAATTTGATTGCACTGCCTTGATGCAAAGATAGAAATGGGCTTAGACACTCTTGAAAAAGTGTGAGTCAGATGTTTGGTGTTTTCTAAGATGCAAATCATGTAAGAGCTTTCTCAGAAAGATTACTCATCATTGTTTTTTACAATATGTATCGTGATAGGGAAAAGGAGGAGAAAAGAAGGAGATAGCCACATAGTGATAGGTTTGTAACAGCTTCTCTGGGCAACAGATAGTGCCAGGCTTTTGACTTCCTTCTGTTTTTTAGTGGGCTCTGGGCAGGCAATAGTGGGTAATGAGAAGCTCTCAGCTGTTTGCAGCTCTGTCCTGCCTTGTTGTGAGCTCTTGTCCACTTTGTCTCTTTTTCCTTCCATGTCTGTTTAAAATACAAAGGCTGACAAGGTGAGGACTGGCTCTTTCTCTGTTTTTGACCCTTGCTGCCAAACCCAAGAGACTTCCTCCCCTCTGGCATCTCAAAATGTTTTTGTAATACAAGTTATCCTTAAGAAATTTCTCTCTTGTCACTTAATCATCTACAATTTGGGATTCTTAGTTTATTGGGGACTGACTGACTACTCCACCATCAGTATGACAAACTCTGACAGGTCTGTAGATAGTTTCAGGTTCTCTGAGCAGATAACACTGGTATTTTCAGTGATGGTTCAAGTACTGGAGACTTGACCTTGTCCACCTTGTGGACACTGTTAAAAGGTCTCAGAAGTATCCCAAGTGAAAAATTCAGACAGAAGCCTGCAGCTCCAGGACAGCATTGGAAATAATGCCTTAATGTCCATACAGCTTTCAATACTGTGGATTGTCTTTGGCCTTTCCAATATGTGTCAGTGCAGGGTTTGCACAGGTTCTGGTAGTACATGAGAATGCAAGTGGACTGAGGGATGTCTTCAAGTCTTTCATGTTCTGTGAGCTATGTCCTCAGCTGTGAAGCTGTATGCATAATGCTTTCTGTCTGACATCAGTTTTCTTTTTGTCTTTTGCAGCACTTTTACAGGCAGTCATATCTGGTGATCTACTGAAGGTAAGTACAAAGCACTGAGTGTCCACTTATTTACAGTTTTTTGCTGGTCAGATATACTGTAAATTTTATCACACCTCTGTTCAAAACATAAATAGGTTGCTGTAGGGACTTCTGACAAGTGCCATTTTATCGCCTTTCCAGGAAACCCTGAATACTAGGGGAACATATAATTCAGGTGAGGTGTGAAATGAATAGGATCTGATGTTTGACAGCGCCTTTTTGCCCAGGTTTCAGAGCCCACTGTGTGGATCAATGTGCCAGTTACTAACAGGAAAATTACTATACTAGCAGTGTTGAACAGCAGGGTAGTTCTGACACAGCTTTACACAGTAAAGGATATTTTACACCAGTGAGGTTGGTGGCCAAGCCCCTAAGTGCTAGCTCACTCGAAGTCTACCTAGGCAATCAGCAAACCAGGTAGAACAAACCTCAGCTGGTCATTTTATCTCCTGATGGATGTCTCAAAGCATGCAGTGCCTTGGTATAGTAAGTTTGGGAGGCAAAACTGCTCAAGCAAAATTTTTTGTGCCAGTGACTGAAGTCCACGTCAGACAGCTATTCAGGCTGCGTGTTTCAGTAGCCAAGTCAGGATCTGAAAACTTGCCCTCGAATTTGGATGAGGACTGTGATTAATGATGGCAATTTTATCTGTGAGAAGCCAGCTTGGAAGCTTGGAGTCATTTGTAAAAATGTCAGTGCTGTAGACCAACGTTTTGCCTGCAGGTACCCCTTCTATACCATTGCCTCAGCACTTGTGGCTGCAGCATCTAGTGAGCAGTCCTTAAAGCAGTCATAAAAATATTGTCTCCTGTACACTTCTCGAAAAGTTTTTGCCTGAGCTGGCTTTGATGGGGAAACTTCCTGCCCTTCTTCAGATGTACTGCATCATAAATGAATTCTCTCCTTTTTCTGCAGTGATCTGCACTGCAAATCTCACCCCCTCTTCCCCAAAGTTTGCAGCATTTCTGAGACCTGCCTGGTTGCTGTTCCCCTCTCATTCTTACCCCATGTAGTGCCTCCTCCTCAGACAGCCCTGAACAGGGGGAACTGTGAGAAAGAAGGTACATGACAGTCACCTCATCTCCTTGTGGAATTTTGTGTTGGACTTTTCTGATTTAATCAGAAAATCTTTGACTCCTGTGCTGAGGAAAAATTTGAGTCTTCAGCAAAGAAGCCAGAATTTTCTATCAAGTACATATATTTTATATATCCCAACAGTGTTGCCAGATGTGGTTTGGAAGCATTCCTAGCAAGCAGTAAATCATCACCAGTAGAGTAGCAATGTCTCATTGTTTAGGAAATATGACTGTTCTCCTCAACCCATATAATTGTCAATATTTCTGGTTTCAGATGTTTTATATCAGGGCCTAAAACCTGGCTTTAAATTAATGTTTTATTTTATTCTATTGTATTTTGGTACTGACTTACAATGAGAACCAATAAAGAATTTACTAACATATTTTTCTGCTCCTCCCATCTTATCCTTCTGTATGTTTCTTTTCTCTCTGTTCTTTTTTTTTTCCTTCTAGTTCATAGAATGTTGTAAAAAAGGAGCCAATTTGTTAATCCAAGGACCTGATCACTGCTCCTTGTTGCACCATGCTGCCAAGACTGGGAACAGCGAGATTGTGAAATACATCCTGGAGCATGGTGAGTCCCAGTGGGCAAATCCACAGAGAACTGTACTTCAGCCAAGTGTCAGTCAGGCAAAACCACACTGGGCTGATGGAAGTGACCTCACTCGTCTGTGGTGTCCCTCAGTGAAATGTCCACCTGCAGCATGTGTGAGCAGGATGCTGGGAATGGGGTAGCAATGAGAATGATGGCACCAGATAAAGTGTGAAAACAAGAATTAGAATGGCTTTTGAGGAGGATGGTGTTTTTACATTTGCATCATCTGAGGGGCTGTGAAGAAGAGTGTGAAGCTCTAGTTAGAACCTCTGGCACAGGAATCCTCTGAACTGTTTTTCGATTAGAGCATATGTTATAGAAAGCATCTAATCTCTATTAAAACATTTCCAGTGACAAAGAGCCCATACAACCAATGCTATTATTTCAGCATTTAATAACACACTAATCAAGAATCTGCTTACTTTTTTCTAGATGAATTCACCCAGCATGCATTCCAACCTTTGAAGATTATGTCTGTTAGATTCAAGACCACTCAACAGCAAAAACTTATGATCTCTATTTTGTACTCATAGACTGTGATCATGTCATTTCCCTTTTTTCCTTTTCACTCTTCTTATCTTTGTCAGTAGTAGAGACTGCAGGCTATCCAGCAATTTTTTTGCATCTGAGGTAGTCCCATTTAGGAGCTTCTGCCTGTTGAGCCACTGTAACCTTGTACCCTCACTGCTGGAGAGTGGTAGGGTAATCGACAGAACTTCAAAATATTAATGGCTATTTCGGCTCCTGAATGTCAAAATCAGCTACATTATTTCAGCAGCAGTGTTAGTGTGAACACAGAGACTGCCCCTGGCAATTAGAGTAAGTGTTAGCTAATGCTCCAAGGTGTTGCACAAATTGTACAGAGAGAAGTAAAAAGCACAACTCCTAAGAAAGGAAGAAGGAACAATGCATCTCTTCAAGCATGACTCCTAAGCTAGGTGTTAACATATAGGTGCCACGTATTCTATAGATCCGAGTTCCTGTACTGTCAGCAGCAATCTGTGACTTAGTTCATTTGCCCTGCTATGACAGAGGCACTTTTGGTGGCAGATGGAAGTGGGGAGGGCATCCTTAATAGCAGCAGACTTTTAGCATGACTAACTCAAAGGAAATCTTAGTCAATGTAGTCATTGCAGTCCTGAAAGTGATTCAGGCAACAGTGCACATTATTAACTTAGGTAAACATAAATGTCTAAGGTCATTTGCCCTTGGATATCCAGGACATCTGCTTGGTTCTACAAGATAATGCACAAGGCCCAGAGGAGGTCTGACCTGCACTGACAGCCAAAGCCCAAGCAAGCATCTCTGTCATTGCAAATGCATCCCAAGGCTTGCCCTTAGGTATATCAAACGGCACAAAATATCTGTGTGTGGGCAACTGAACCGTGCCCCAAAAATCTGACTGAGAGCGTCTGAATAATTCTTTTACTCCTTTATGTATAGGTACCTACACATGGATAGGTCAGTGCAGTTGAGCTTATATCCAAATAATGTCTGGTTTTCTCACCGGTTCTAGCAAGCCTTACCTGTGCTAACTCTACCTCCTATTTAACTGCTCTGGATTATCTCATTAGTCACAGTGCACATATGTGCCACTGAATTCTGAACACAGGCATAATTTTGCTTTATTTTCTTACTGCCCCGCTCTCTTTTCACACTGCACATGACCTGTGCCAACTCACTGTCATAGATGCTTCTCTAGGATTTTTGTTAGACACATATACTTTAACTTAGTCAGTCTGACCCAGTTACTGTTCTTTTGGTGAAGGGGTAAAGTGAGATAATTTAAACTGATAAGAATGTAAGCAGGGAATCCATGGGAATTTTTGAAGTAAATAGAGAAATGTGAGGGAATAAGGACTGTTAGACAAAGACAAATCAGAGGGTTGAGCAAATGTCAGCTCAGTTCCTCTCTCCCTTCTTTATCCCCAAGGATGGCAGGAAGCTTTTGCAGCTTTCTAGACATGTCCTCTGGGCTTCTCCAAATGCATTGTTTGTTTAATATTCTCTGGGGGTCAGGGAGTGCATGGGACAATGCACAATCTAATAGAGGCCACCTCTCTTCTCCCACCAAGCCATTAATGAAACTCATTTCTACTCTGGGCACTTTTCAGCCACAAATGAGCTCTCTCTTGCTGAATCATCCTCATCATCATGTCCCTGTTTTTCTTTGCATTCTCTAGCATTTGGCATTTTCTCAGCATTAATTACTGTATATGACCTGATCCAATGCTACTAATATCTAAGGTTTCCCTGTGTGGAGCTTCTTGTTTCTGCTGATATCCACTCATAAAAAATTCATAAAAATGAGTCTTACTTCTGTTCTGGCAATTACCTCTGCCCAGTCACACTTCCTTTGGAGTCTGTATGCTTCCCATACATGACTGAGGATAGTGAATGATAATAGCAGTTCCACAGTAAAATACCCTCAAGCACACAGCTCAGAAAATCTATTATTAACCACACAGGGAAAAATCTGAACATCTCTAAAAAACATCAGCAACAAAGGAAGACAAAACCCACTGCTCCAGGAACTTTAACTGTCTAGTATGAAAAACAGTGGGGTGAATCTAATGCAATACGGGAGTGGCACCCATAGAACTAGAATTACAAAGAAAGGAAAACAGTGTAGTGGTGCTAAAGCTGTTGTTTGTGGAGATGGTTTTCTGCAAACATGCAGGGCACATTTATATGAAAGGTTATTCTGTGATCATGATCAGAATGATTTCAGATGTTAAGCAGAGAAAAATAACCTATCCTAAACTAGAAATAGCACACAGGAGGACTGCTGTGCAGTATTGCCTGATAATTTGCAGTTGCCCAGCACAAGCCTGGAATAGCAGCTGAAGCACGAATGTAGTAGGTGTCAGGACAACAGCTGCTTGCTGCTGTGGTAGGAGTTATACTGGCTGCTGTTCAAATAAATCAGTTTGTCTCTATTCCCTGTGCAGGAAGGGCAGATACACAGACCTATCACTTGTTCAAGATTGCCCAACTCAATCAGGAGTCTTTTGCTTTTAGTAGAAGGGAACTTGTCTGTAGCTGAGTTAAGAAATGCTTAGCTAGAAACTGAGGGCCAAACTCAGTAGGTATGAGAACCACAGCTTTTGCATCACATCCTAATTCATGTACATTAGAGAACAGTTAACTGTGTACTTGCTTAACACAAGCAGAATTAAGGAAGGCTTAAGAACCTGTGTTAGGAAAAGAGCCTCCTAAATCATCTGTATTTGGTATCAAACTTAGATTGGAGTCTTTATCTGGCAACTGTGAAAAATTTATAATTTATAAACATTGTACAAATAATTCCATTTGCCTTGTCCTTGTCTTCTCTAGACATTCAAAAAACAAGCAAGAATTTTATAGTTCATCTAGGGTATTTTAATTTTAAACAGAAGAGAGGAAAGAAGTTTACAGTTGCCTTAGGAGTCTGTGGTAGTAATTTCTGATGCAACAGAGAGTATGTAGGGCATCCCATCCTAAACATTTATGTGTCCTCAAACCTCTGTGTCCTTGCTCCACCAGAAAGCATTCCCTGATAACAAATAGATAATGCTTTCATTAATCTTAGCACTGCAAAGTCCAGAGTTAAGAGTCATCAGTGAATCTGGATTTGCAGCCTGACCAGATTCAGAAGTTCCTTAGAAGGCTTTGGGAAAGCAAATTTTGCTGTGACAGAGATGTGTGTCAAAGTTTTAATAATCGTCAGAAAGTAGCACTGAATGAGAGTGAGTTTGTATAACACTTGTTAGTCTGTCTAGATTTGTGGAATGTTTTAGGGTAGTGGTCATTTGTGAGGGGCCTAGGCAGAAAACAGTTTAGTTTTTCTAGAAGGCACAAGGTATAACATAGTCTATTTTAATTTCAAGTCTACCAAATTTTAGGGCAACATGGCTGACAGACATGTAGGAAGGAATGCTCCCATAACCTGACTAGCCTCTATATTACAGTGGAAATTCTGAACTAAAAGACACTAGCTGAAAAAAACACTGTTAATTTTCGCATCAAGTAAAAAAGATGAGTGTGGAGTTGGGGAAAAGCTAGAAATAATTCTCAGCTTTCAGTTTACTGTTATTTTAAAAATATTCCTACTTTGACGATAAGTATCCACATCCAGTTTTGTCCCCCAGATAATAACCTCAATCAGGTTATTAAACAAAGAGGGTTTTGACAGATAAACATCCAGAAATGTTGATAATGGTATTACTGCTTAGAGTAAATACCCTTCTTCCCCAATTCTATGAAGGACTGACAAGACATGGGACTGGCAGGGGTAAATATCTGTGGGTCTCCTGTGGGTAACTGTAACTACATCTATTGGAAAGGGCTATGCTGTGGGCTCAGAGGCCTTTCAAGAATGTGTGGTGCTGTATCTTTTGGAAATGCCTCTGAAATATGGGCGCTTAAAATCTTTTTTTTGTTGTTGTAGTGAGCTCAGCAAAGGAGCAGCTGCTTTTGAGCGTCTCCTTTCCTTCCCTCCTCCCATACCCAGCTCAGGCTGCTTTGCCTTCTGAGAAACTGGAGAAGGGCTTTGGTAGAGCAAAAGAGGGCAAAAGGAGAGAAGGAAAAATGTTAATAATTCTACACAGACAGTCTATGGGCAATACTGAAGAAAGAGAGTGATCTCAGCTGGGCCTTCCCCTCAAGTGCATCATGCTTTTCAGCTCTTTTCATGTGAACTTCTCCCCCCACCCTGTCCCCCATCCCCATCCTGCCATTCTTCAGCCCCTCAGTCTCTTTTTTCCTTTCTCTCTCTTTTTTTTCCCTCCCTCCACCTCTCCACACATTTCTATCTTTTGTTTTTATTTTCCCCCCCTGCTGTTTTCCTTGATAGAAATCTCACTCATGCATTTCCCTTCCGGATTTCTATTGGGTTATTTTGTCCTCTTTCTCTCTGTGCCTTGGTCCCCTTTTCTTTTTCTGCCTCTTGTTCCAGAGTGAAACAGCCGCCTCCCTGCTGGGGCAGGATGACAGTGCCGTTAGCTTTCCCAGTGCCAGCCCTTCCCACATCTGTGCAGCTTTTGTCCCCGGGCAGAGGGGGATTTAGAATGGTTGGTTGGCAGCGCTAGGGAGACTGATATAAAAATGAGGTCCAAAAAAGAGGGGAAAGGGAATTAGGAGGAGGGCGTGAGATGGTTTAAGAGAAGCACAAGTGAAAGTAAAATAAAGAAGGGCACAGCTCAGGCTGTGAGCTTCAGAGATAGGCCAGAGAGAATGAAATTAAAGAATTTTGATACCACGTTGTGCAGCTAATTATTAACCCCAGTATCTGGCCCTTATGTACAACTCGGATGGAGTCAGGGCTCTCCCATGAAATGCTTAATTTGGGACAGTATACAGGAGAGCACCCTTCGCACTCAGGCAGGGTGTACCTGTCATCTCCTCAGGTCTGTACTCAGACTGTCCTCAGGGTCCTCAGCACTGAGCTCCTCTGTCCTAGCCCTGCTACTTCTTCCTGCTTCACACCAGTTTTCCTTTACCCTTGGCTTCTCTCCAGACCTACTCTGCAAAGCTTTCTTTACTCTCTCAGGTCATATTCTGCTAACTATTCTGTTTTACTACCTTACTTACCTTTTGATAGCTTCTTCCGCTTACCTGGGCAAGTACCTCTATGTCCCATAAAGCCAGACCTGTCACTCTGTTCCACTTTGGCGATACAACCTTCCTTGCTCCAACCATGAGCAGAAATAATAGGTGTCAGTGTCTTCTCTAACACACTGCAAGCTGTTCCCGCTTACCTGTCACTGGGATGTGGCATTCCAGGAAGCTATGGGGAATTACCTTTATTTTTGAGAGAACATGATTTTCTCCTAGGAAATGTAAAGGACTCCTTTTCTTTATATGTATTTCTTTAATTGTCTTTTTAGTTTCTCAGGCATTATCTTTTTTTCCCATTCAACAAGAGGTTCTGCTTATCCCCCTTTGTCCTTCCTCGTGATCCTAGGAGCTCAGGGATAGTGACTGATTCTTCTTAGGCAGGAGTGAACACAACTGTCAAGTGCAAAGATGAGGATGTGTGGCAGTAGAGTCAGGATGCATTAAATAATTGAAAGTGACTACTGTGTTTGAAGAACTGTCATGACAAGTGGTACTCAATGCCCTGTGCACTGAGGGCTAAGCACCACACTTTCTCATGATGACAGAAGATGAAGTGAAGAATCTGCCTGCAGCTCCAGGAGCCCCAGTGATACTCCATGTGTACATTTGAAAAGCAGTGAGGTAAAGACAGGCTGCTCTGATCCTTTTTGACACACACTCAGAGTAAAAGGAGTGTAGAGAGGTTGTGTGTAGGCCTTTGTAAGCAAATAGCGTGAAATTCCTCAGTTTCAGGTGAGATTTGCTGTAAGCTCTTGAGGACTCTTGGATTTCAAAGTCACAGTGTGTTGGAGAGAAATATTCATGCACAGGAAGGAAAAGTCTTGTAAAGTTTCTCTGTTCCCCTTGGTAACTGCCCTTACCATCTAACACTGCACTCCAGAACAGTGGAGAGAAGAGTAATGTGACAGACTGCAAAGGAAAAAATTTTTTTTCAAATGATATCCAGATCTTAGCCTTTCCATATCACTGTAATTCACCGATGGAATTTGCTGCTATAAATATCTGCCCATAGTGATTATCAAGGACAAAAGGACATTAACATAAATGTATTTTTTTTTCCCACTTAGCAAAAATCTTTTCTGTTTTTCTTAATCTTACTTTCCTGATCACTGCTAACCAGTGGAGTACAGGATTTGCATGTCAATATAAAGACTGCTGGGAATATTCCACCCTGATCTACATTTTGTATAACGCTATTAAATGGAGTAGCACAGGGATGTCACTCAGGATGGAATTTGGCTAATTTCAACTTCCTAATGACATTTTCCCTCTAGTACCAACAATAGATATTAACTTGCAATATATCAGGGTTTCCAGCATATCAGCATTTTTAATGTACTGTACTTACGTGAACTACTTAATTGAGCAAGGTGAAGAGTGAGAAAATAAGCCCCATGAATATTCATTCCCTGTATAATTTAGAGACTGCTACTCCCTGTTGCTGACACTCCAGCAGTGCCTGTGCATTCAGAATTTTATTAGTGCAAGGGCTCACACAAACAAATATTACATTGAAGTTTGATATATTTGTGCAGATCGAGCTTTCACTTGGCTTCTTTTATATATTTTTACTGGGAATCTTCTCCTGGTAGACATATTTTTAGTCTTGCAGACAAATGCTATATGACATACCTGACTATCTTTTGCAGGTCCATCTGAATTACTGGACATGACAGACAGTGAAACGTAAGTACAAACTACTCTGTCCTTCACATTATGTGTGTTAAACTAGCAGACTCCTCTTGGTTTTCAAGTGCAAACTGTTAAATAGGAAAAAGCTTGTAAAATGGCATACCTCTTCAAAAACGAACAAACAGAAGGCCCCCTACAAACCACACATCAACCACCTCATATCTGGCTTTCTTGCCTCAAACAAACATTTCTTGGATTTGCAGAGGACTTTCTCCCTATTGCTTCCCATGCTTCCTTAATCTTTCTACAGAAATAGAAGCCCTGCTTGTATTTTGATGTTTCCGGCCTCCAGCTACTAAGAGACCAACCTGAAGAGTAAATTCCAAAATTCAGGAAATTGCTTTTCTTGCTCTACACCTCTTTTTTCAGTCAGTTTTTGATTCATCCAGGGTGCTCTGCCCTAGCTCTCCCAAGTGGCCAGGACTTGTGCAGTTGAAGGTTTCCATCAAGTAGTTAAAACATCAATCAGCTCTGCTCTTATAAAAAATAGAACACAATCCAATCCAAACAAATTACTTTCCTTTCCAATGCCCAATTTTTTTACACCCCGTATAACCTAAGTTTCACAAAAGTATGTAAGGAAAGCATGAATAATCCTGGAAAATAGGTGTAATACAGGTGAAACAAAAGCAGTCTTTCTCATAGGGATCAAGCCTACCTTTCTCATCTCACAGTGCCCTCCTGTGCTAACAGAGAACACCTTTTGTACAAGGTTCTTCAGTGAAGTCCAGAGGTTCTTTTCATCCAGGAATGTAGCACAACCACATAAAGTGTCAGTAAGCATAGCAACGAGGACTTCCCTTTATAGAGCTTCCTCTACCTCTGACTCTTGGAAAGGGAAGGGTCAAGCTGAAACTGGCAGTATAAATTTGTCTTTTGGTTCTCAGGGGGAAATAAGATAGTATCCAATTCTGATACTATCCAATTCTGGTACTAGTTCTCATGCAGCAGCAAGGGCATATATATTACAAGGTTGACTCTTAGTATTTCAATTTCCCTGTCATGAATGGGGGCTGAGGTTCCTTTATGCACTCTGTGTAGGTAGGTGCAAGATTTGTTTTGCTACATGTATTTCTTGTCATTTGTTATTTCACAGGTTATGTAATGGCCCTACTTGTTGGATACTGGTATTAAGGATTCCTTTTCAACCCACTCAAAGCATACTTTCCTCTTCTTCCTAGGCAAATCTAGAAAGATTTCTCTACTCTCAGTAAAGAGTAAGTCAGTTTCAGAATCCTGTCATACTTAGCTTCAGTCTGAGTGAGAAAGTGCAACAAATGTGCTCCCACTACACAGTCTCCTCTTCTGAAAAGCATGCATGTAATCTTCCTCAGTAGCTTAGCAGTCTAGTGTTAGAAAACACATGAGAGTTCTTGCTCTCATATGTCCAAGCGAGCACGGTATCAGAACTGGGGCAGCAAGTGAACTAGTCATAGCTTTGATGGGTAGGATTTTTCTAGGATGACTCCAAGAATGAGGTTGAGGAAAGAAATTGCAGGAAGAAACAAACCCTGTTGCTGTTTTGCCTGCTGTGAAATGAGAAGGTGGCTAGCTTGCCTTTGCAGCAGTTAACAGAGCTGGTGGTTGGATGGGAATGTCATCTGAATAAGTAAAATCTGTGCATGTTTCTTGTGCATCTCTCAGAAGTTCTTCGTCTGCTATTTGTGCATTGTAGGGTTTCCTCCTGAGTCAAAGGATATAGATGCTAAGGGAGAGACTACACAAGTCTACTTCTGCCAACAAGAGGGAACCTCGCAGAAACGAAGCATCCTTCTCTGTCTATCCTCTGCACCTCATGCTTCGTAAATGTACATTGGTGTGATGTGTCTCACTGCTGGTTTCTGTACTTTGGTCTAGGGGTGAGACAGCATTACATAAGGCGGCTTGCCAGCGCCACCGTGCCGTCTGCCAGCTCCTGGTGGATGCGGGAGCCTCTCTGAGAAAGACAGACTCCAAGGTAACGCAGCTCCATCAAACACTTACAAACTCTTGCGGCCCGAGCGAGACCATCAGCATCTGTCCCTGATGTTTGCATGACTGAGACTTCCTTGTGTGTGAGGAGGGCAGCTTCTTTTAAGCAAGCTATTTTTATAGAGAAAACTGTATTGATTTAAACAAGTACAAGAGACTTCAGTCCCCATGGCTTGTTGTCACCATTGTGAGAGTCTGGCCTCAAACTATTCAGTGCATTGGGTGTGAATGAGACATCATGGCACAGCAGTATCCTCCTCCATTGTGGTCAAAAGAGAGGCCTCTGGGCAAGCACTACCTGCAGGAGCCTTAGTTTCTGATTGCACAGCATATGTGAGGCTTGATTATTGTGACTGACCTGCTTTGTGAGGATGGCTATTTTCTTTTGCCCTGGCTTGCTCCTGTGCTCACTGATGTGACACTAACCACAGCACTCTCTTGGTATAAGCTTAACTGAGAAACAAATGTGGGAAAAAATTAAATCCAAGGAATATTCAGTCATTACAACGATCTGATTGCTTAGGAACATGGTCCAGAAGCTGCCTCTCTGGAGTTTCTGAGCACAAGCACCCTGTGTAGTCAGCAGCTGAGAGTGAGTTGGTTCTCTGGACTCGAGAGTCAGAAGCACCTTTGCTGCAGCCAGGCAATCAAAACCAATTCCTACCTTCTTGGGCTCTATGAGGTAGCCTATAATGGGAAGAGAAATCTGCTATGATTCTATGATCTCTTGTTCAGATGACAGAATTGTAAGTTGCAAAAAACTTTCTGAAATAGATGACATCCAGACAAGTGGCTTCTGACTTGTTAATCATCTTCTGCCTAGAAATCATCTGTTTTTCTAAACGTATTAGCACAAGACTTTCTCTTCATGTTTCTTATTGCAGGGTAAAACCCCTCGTGACAGGGCTCAACAAGCTGGTGATCTGGATCTGGCCTCCTACCTGGAGAGCCGACAAAACTATCAAATTTCCCATGAGGATCTAGAGACAGCAGTCTGATGTCTGAAAATGTCCAAGAGGATCCCTGGAAATCTTGAGACTGCACCTGAGGCACTCAGGCATCGTGTGAGGAAGAAACTGATGGAATCCACATGTCTCTCACTCTCAAGGAAAATACCTGAGGACATGCCACCAGTTTCTAAGGGCTACTGAGTCTTGCCGTGGAATGGTTATGTTCCATAAGTTAGCCCATGATGGAAGAGCTGGGACACTCAAAGGTCTGTGGAATCCATAGGCCACAAAACTTTACCTTTATTGCTTCCAGCAAGTAGCATGAACTTCTCCCATGTTCATCTGTACAATTTATTAAAAAAAAAAAGAATAAAGAGGGTGTGGGGGAACAAAATCCAAACTAACTGGTACATTAAGCCACCCACCAGCCTCTCCTCCATCCTTACAGTTTCCTGCATTGCTTTTATTCTCCTGCTCCCCTCACTTCTCATTAGTTAAATATTACCTATTATCTCTGTGTTGTCTTCACAAATAGTCAGGCAGTAGCAAAATATTTGAGGAGCTCTGGATGCCCTTAAGAAATATCCAGTGTTTTTGCCAGCTACATCCCCTCTCCTGTCATTCTCTCAGAAGCTGTGTTGTCAGTACTCAGCCACCATGGAGGTTCCTCGCTTTCAGAGAGGCTGCTGCTTATTGCCTTGTTTCCCAGGGTGTGGGGCATAGTTTGATTTACAGCAGTGACAAAGCCCAACCTCATCATTGCTGGGCATACAGTTATGGTATCCTCATGAGACAGGCATTTGTATGGAAAGGAGTTACATGGGATATACCATATACCATATATACCATATACCATTTCTGCTGAATAGCAGACCAGAAAGTCACCAGGAAGGTTTCTCATATCAGTTTTGTGTGTGTAATGGCTGACCCAGCTCTTCTCAGGTTTCAGGGCTGCCTAGAAGTTGATAGCTATTCTTTACTTCTGAAAAGATGGGTTTTACACTGGGGAGAGATTTGTGCAAGACTGTGGGAATTCTGATGGACTGACTGGCAGATCTAGTCCACTTTGCAGCGCAGCCAGAGGGAGGAAGGAGAGCTGGAACATCAGCAGCCAGCCTGGTCGCATTGGGAATGGGAAAACTTTTGACTGAACCTGTAAATCTGATTTTTCAAGGGAACAAAGTTTTGGGGAGTCTGTCCCTGGAGAAGGACAAGCAGCAGCTCTTTGCCTTGTTACCCACAATAGGTTTGAAATGTAAAGCTTTGCTGCTGTCAAGGCTAGCTGTATCTTCTGTACTCATCTGTTCTCTGTCTTATAAACATAAGAGAAAGCAAACAAATACACAAGCATAAACAAAATGTTTCACCTTTGGGTTTCCAATTGCTACAGATATCTCAGCTGATGAAATAGCAGAGCTCCTGCCTCTACTTTGTCAGACCAATGCTCATGGCTGACTTTTGGCAAAACTCTTGCAATACATTTTCAAATTTTGCTTTGTTGTTTGATTTGAAAGATCCACCAGTGTTTGTTTTCACATGCCTTGCTCGGGGTAGCTCTCTGATAGATGGTGATCACTGGGGTTACAAACACTTTGAAACCATGAAAATAACTCAGGTTGTTATCCAGAAAAGTTTTTCTTCTTTCATAGGAATGGAGGAAATCAAATGAATGCAATTTTTTTAAAACCATGAATGATTGTTGTGGCAGGGAGGGGGGAGCTGAGAAATATATTTTAAATTTTTTTCCTCTTTTCAAAGGTTCATTTGATATGGGAAAAATATTTCTTTAGTATTTCTTCCTCTGGAAGGAAACGATATGTATTTGTAATCTATAGATCAATGGGGACATGAAATGTATTTTGTCTTATTTTTTGTCTTTACCTTTCTCATTTAAAAAATAAAATATGAAAGCCAAATTACTTCCCTTGATAATTATCCAGGAGCTCGTGGAGAAAATAAGTATGTGTATATATTGCAAAATAATTTGGCAACTGTTAAAATAAAAAAATCAGAATATAGTTTTGGTGTGTGTGATATTTCCACAAGGAAAGATCCCCACACTATGGTTTCATGGTAGGCCTTGTATTATTTCCCAGTTGTGAGAAAAGACATTACTGTAATATTTCTATACATTTGATAAAACTAAGAATTATGTTACCATCACTTTAATCTTTTGGTTTGCTTTGCTGATCTGAGAAATGGAGAAAGTTTCAATAGCAAGGGAGCTTGGCTCTCCCGTGCTGAGGCCAAGCTGAGTATGGTCACTGAGCCTGTGACAGCTCCCTGATCCTTTAATCCCATGAAGCAGGTGGAGCAGTAAAGGCTTGCTTTAATCACAGGTAGCCTCCAGAGGCCAGATGCGGATTATGATAAGGGGGCTGCTTCTGGTCCCTCTGTCCCCAGTTGCCTTCCTCTTGGCAGCTCTTCCCTCATACCCAGGAGGTGCCTGCAGCTGTGGCTGGCTCTGGAGCAGCTTGTCAGGATGGGCAGACTTCCCGAGCAATTTTGTGCCATTTGGACTGCTCAGAGAAACCTGGAGCATAAAAGAGACCGTGGCTTGGATTTTTCACTGAAAGCTGGAGTACGATGATATGATCCGAGTGAGCCTATTGTGTCTCTGGAAAGCTGCCCATGCTGTGTGCTCAGTAGGAGACAGCTACTGTATGATAAAAATAGCGCCCAGCACTGGAGGTAGGACAGGAACTGGCTGGATGCAGTGCCTTTATTATTCAAGGTGTCCTAAAGCACTGCACACGTGATGCACTAGATACTGGTGATGTTTTGTATCTGTAGATAACAGAGCACATCTATTGCTTTCTACAATGGCTCATGCGTGGCAAGGAATATCAGAAGTTGGTTCACTGAGGGCAGTTTGGGACCAGGATGCTGCAGGACTATTCCTTACACTTTTCAAGTGTGATGGGATTACCAGAAGTAGGCAGATTGCAGCAGTTAAAGGGGACACAGAGGCATTGAATCTCTGGAGCACTTGAGATCTAGATTAGTACAGTACAACTGTGCCTGTGCTGGGCAGAGCCCAAATTCCTGCCACTGGGAGTCCACTTGAATTACATGTAATTTTGATTTACTAAAAGCATCTATTCAGTGGCTGTATCTGTTGATGCGTGTATATTACTGTATATATGTATATTTATAAATATCAGTATGCATGTATATAGCTGCACACATACGTATGCAAACACACTTGAAATTGTGCCATTTGAAAGACAAAGTCCCTAGGGATGTTCAGCTACTGAGATTGCTGGACTGACAAAATGTCATTTTCCATTTTGATTTGTTATTAAACGGAACATTTTTCAGTTGAACTGAGGAGCTTCTGAATTGTTCCATTGTACTGGTTTTAGTATCTTGTTTTGCAGTTAAATGGAGGGAAAGAAAGTATAATGTTGATAAAATAAACTTAATTTTGTAATTTAATAGCATCAGTTACTCTTATTATTTCATGTTTCAATGCTAGAGGTATCTTTTATGTGTTCTTCAAGGCATGATGATGTAATATATTTTTCATTTATTATAGCATAGAATGGCAATGGACAGGGACACTTTGCACTGGACCAGGCTGCTCAGAGCTCCATCTAAGCTCACCTTGAACACTTCCAAGGATGGGTCATCCACAACTTCTCTATCCCTCAATACTGTGAGATCTGAGGCTCAGTTTTTGCTTATGTAAAACAGGAATTCAAGGCAAATTTTGTCTGTTACAAAACAGATGTCAGACTCCAGTGGCTCTTTCATCATTTCACGTGGTGGCTTGCTTCTCTGTGTTTTAGCACTTTGGGATGTCCATAGGTGTTTTTATTGAGACCTGTCACTCTTGCTTCTCCCCAGCAGCAGTAGAATTGCTCAGTCTCAACTCATGGTGCTGTAGCCTGGAATCAGTCTACATGAGATGTCCCCTGCTACATGAGGCCTGTCATACAGAAGAACCATAGACAAAGAAAATAGAACAAAATCAATATTTTGTTGCCCTGATCTTCCCAGGTGTATTTGCTGAGGTGATACTGTTGTGTAAGAATGGGTGGGGCACATAGTTTTTCTGGTGGTGTGGCTGTGGGAGGTTTGTTTCAGTTATATTTCATGGCATAATGAAATATTACTGAAATATTACATCTTTGACTCATGTTTGTCTTTGCTGTGATGGTGAAAAGCATGGTAGTGGAAGTTTCTAACACAAATTCATCTAGAAGGTGTCTATTTTCCTTTCAGCCATCCCAGATCCCTTCTGTGGGACATGCTTATGTGTTGATGTGATCTGTCTCTAGGGTATTAAATGGGCAAGATATAACAGTAGCCTCAGGTTTTCTCAGACTTTAATGGTACTCAAGAAATGTATGGGCATGCCAAAAATTAAAATGCCTTGGAAAAACCCTAAGGAAATTCTGTCATTGCACTCTATGTACTACAAGAAAGAGCAGTTCCTTGTGCTGATCTGTTTGAGGTGTATCATTTTCTTTCTCCCACTTTTTACTTCTTTTGCACCAAACTAACATCTATAGAGAAGTATTTTTTAAGACATGTTTTTAAGCTTGCTAAAAGTAACATTTTGACTTCCATTTTACCTGTTCTTTTCGATTCATAAAATATTGTTTCATCTCTTTATTTTCCTCAGTGAATCAGAGCCAAAGTGACGTTGGGTTATTAGCTTCCTAATTAGTCTGAAGCATCAAATGCGAGTATCTTTAGACATTTCAGCAGTCCTGGAAACAGCTTATATTCCTGTGCCTTTCTGGATGCATAGGACACAGTATTGGAGTGCTCACTGTGGTACTCATCTCATTTTGCTTTCTTAACAACTGTTTTTCTTAGCAATGGATTGCTGCATTGCTAAGCCTTAAATTCCATGATCTGCCTGCCAAAATCTGTTGATTGCAACAGCAACTCAGTAATGTGCTGCGAGTTGCTCCACGTGACCATAGCAAGTGACCATGGCTGCTTTTACTCCGGCTCTGCCATGGAACTAGACTTCTCTGTAGTGCTTGCCCAGGATCCCCTGCAGGTACCAGACCTCAGGGCGTGTTTTCAGCACCGCTGCCCATGGTGGTATCCACAGAGACTGGTGTTCTCTCATCCCCTGTACATGTGCACTGGAGCAACACTCCCTGCCTTGGCCAAGGAATTTCCTGGCCCACGTATGGTGCCATTTGTGCAAAAGGGGAACATTCCCTCCCTTGTGCCTTGATCACACCAGTAAATTCATTACATTTGAC